AAATTATTTTCAAGTATACTATAGTACAAATGGATTGAAAACGTAATGAATCAAAAAAATATATATTTATAAAAATATTCACCGTTAAAAACGCGTGCGTTCGTACGTGCGTGCGTGCGTGCGTGCGTACATACGTTCGTTACGTTTTATAATTACGTAAATTTAAAAAAAAAAAAAAAAATAACCTAATAATTTATTTTTGTTAATCCAGTTTAATTAATTTATTATATTCAAAGACTTGAATTAATAATAATAATAATAATAATAATAATTCTAGGACTGGTTTTATTTTTGTTACGTGTGTTATTGGTTTTAAAATAGTCACACCCGTTCAGGACCGGCACAGAAATAATAATAATAATAATAATAATAATAATAAAAAAGATGAAAAGAAAATGTGGGGGGTGGGAGAGGGAGAGAGAGAGGAAGAGTTAAAAGTGTGCCAAAATATGCCAAAATGGTTGGCAAGTTTAATATTTATTATTTTTTCGGCATGTTGCGAGACATTTTTTTTTTTTTTTCCCTACTCTATTAATTAAATTCAAGAGCAAATGATAATAATGATGATAATAATGATGATAATAATACATTTTATATAACGAATTTATAAAAATTGATTTTTGTAAATGAAAATTTTATCTTTAATCGATATGAAATTATTGATGAGAAATCTTTTTTTTTTTTATTTATTTATTTTATAAACAATCTCCATGTTTGTTTTTCTTTAATTATTTTATATATAATTAATTTAAAATACAAAATGGATGCCGGCAGGTAAAAAATTTCCAAAAAAAAAAAACCAAATTTAAGGTAAAATTTATGATTTTCTTCCATTTTTTTTTTTTTAAATTTTTATAATTAAAACAAAATAAACTAACAAATTTAAATTATAGAAAAAAAAACTTATTATTATTATTATTATTATTTGTTAGGTAAAAAGTTTTTATAAAAAAAAAAAAAATTATTATTAAATTAACGAGAATGAAAACAATTTTTTTTTTTTTTTTTTTTTTTTAGAAAATTTAATTTACCGTAAAAATAATAATAATAATAATAATAGTAGGAATCCTTGTAAGTTGACTGATTTAAATAATAATAATAATTTAATAAGTTTTTTTTTATTATTCAAATTCTCAACCATGGGAAAAATAACAATAATAATAATAATAAATTTAAAAAATTTAAAATTTGTTTATTATTATTATTATTATGAACACGGTAAAAAGTTTGATTTTCTCAGGTTCAATGCGGCGCTTTCGTCGCCAAACTCTGGCAGCCATTTTTCTTCGCACATTTTCGAGAAATTACGAAAAGCATGACATGCGCAGTGTTTAATGTGACGGGAACCGGATCGAACGAACTGTACTCACCGTCGATTTTGTTGGTTTGTACTCAAAGAAAAATCAAAAAAAAAAAAAAAAAAAAAAAAAAAGAAAATCGGGAAAAATAAAAAAATTTACTCGATTTATCCGGGAAAATTAATAAATAATTGAAAAAAAAAGGTAAAATTCGTAAATTGTGAAAGTAATCAAATAGAAATTACAAAAAAAAATTTTGGATTTTATAAGTATTCGTTCGTCGCGAATTGATTTTTCAAATTCGCAATAGAAAAAACGGGATAGAATATTTTTTAACGGTTTTTTTTTTTTTTTCATTTAAAATGAAACGCACATTCGCGTTTTTCTAAAAATGATTTCATTAAGGATATAAGTTTGTCGAGGGTTTATTTTTTTTCTTATTGATTTAATCTTAAAAAACGTTATTATTAATTATTTATTACTACTTTTCTTTTTTTTTTTCTTTTTTTTTTCTAAATAAATTCGCCGGCCGTTATTTTTCGCGCAATCGATTGATTATACCGTAAATATTTCGAACGCGTTATAAAAATTTTTAAAGTATATTCCTAACGTATTTTCGCGACAATGTTTTTGGCGGAAAAATGATTTTGTCTCGATTTTACAATAATAATAATAATACTAGACGAAACGAAAAAAGGAAGAAGAAATCGATTTTTTTAAATGGTGAGTTTTTTTTTTTTTTTTACACACACACACACCTCTTATTTCAAATATCTAATAATAATAATAATAATAATAATAATAAAAATGTAATAATAATAATAATAATAACAACTGTTTTTTACTTTTTTTTAAAATTAACTTTGTATATGCACCGTAACCGTAGAGAGAGAAAAAAAAAACCTTTTTTCTTTTTGCAAAAGCAATAATAATAATAATAATAATTTTAAAGGTCAAGGGTCATGAGGGATTTTTTAAATTATTTAATTCTTTTTTAAAAACAAATCCGAAAAAAAAATGAAAAGAAAAAAGGTTAAAATTACCAAGTTTTAAATTAAAATTTGCAATCGTTATTATTATTATTATTATTATTATCTTTACGTTTTCGTTTGAATTTGATTTCGATTTCGTTTTCGAACGAGATTTTGCGAACTCTTGCGAGAATTACATTCAATTAGTTACCAACTGAAATCCACCCGAAAAAAAAAAAAAACCCGACCGCTTTTTTCGTTTGTCCAATCGTTTAACGCCTGAATTATTTTGCCAATATGGCCGACAGCAACAAAAAAAAAAAAAGGGTTGAAAGCGATAAAAAAAAAAAAAAATGACAAAGGTAATTATTATTATCATCATCATCATTATAAAAAATTAAAAGTAATTTTAATTGCGATTATTGTTTAATCATGTGACTTTATTGGAATGCGAGATTAGGAAGGGTAGGGTATGGGAGGGGAGGTGAGGGAAGGGGAAGGGGAAGGGGGAGAAACAGCAAAAAAGCAAAAACTTTTTCATTATTATTACGTTCCATTCGAAAATCCGTTATTTTTGAATTTTTTTCTCATTTGCATATTTATCTACGATTTTAAGTTTAAGCATTCGAAAATTTATTATTATTATTATTATTATTATTATTATTATCGATCGGTGAAATACATACGAAGCATTATATCTTTTTTTCATATGTTTTATTAATAATTAAAAAAGAAATAACAATAAAAATAAAAATAAAATTAATAGTTTTTTTTTTTAAAGCGAGAAAAAAATTTTGCATTCGCGAATAAATTAGTTATTTTTAAAACGTTTTTTTTTTTTTTTTTTTTTTTTTTTGTTTTTGGCCGCGGAAAAAGAAACGGAAATTTACCTAATGTTCGGTCGATTTCGAGAAAAATTTTCTTTTAAAAAAAAAAAAAAACCGTTTAAAATGGCGGAAATTTTTTTTTT